TGGTGTAGATCTTTTAGAGACCTTAAGATATTTAATATATTCTATTTTAATTTGGATATCATTAATTTTTTCACTTTTTTATTTATTTCTATTTATTTGAATATAATTTTCGAAATCTAGAGATCTTTAAAATCAAATACTATCTTCTGTGATATTTTTCACACATTTGTGAATTATAAAAGGTTATCACTATTATCAATAAAGTTAAATCATTAGAAATATTTCGATAAGTGTAATACCAGATCAACTATCCTACAATATTGGTCTTAATTCTAATGATAGAATTATGTTATTATATATATTCACACTCTAAGCTCCTTAATAAGATTACTGTACCTATAATTAAATTTTATAAGATGAATATATATAATAGATACTATTTAATAGTTGATTTCTCAGAATTTTAAAAGGCAAATTACAAAACATCACAAAATCTTTCTAATTTTAGAATCCTTATATTTTCGAAATTAAGGCATTAAGTATTAGAGATAATAACTATCTCTTTGTTTAGTTGTAAAAAAATAATTAAAACAATTTTGGATTTCTACTTAAAAACGGAGATTTTAATAATTATTAAGTATTTATATGGGATCACATTATAATGTTAAGCATAAAATCTGAATAAATTCTCTTACATTAATATTACTGTATAGGCCTAATTCCTAATGAATTTTCTTTTGGAATTTCATAAACTAACAAAAATGTGCCCAAGAGTTTGATTAATAAATAAAGCTTTCGATAAACTTAACATTTGATTCACCTATAAACATTCAATTTATTTCCTTTGAAACCTTGATTAAAAGGAAACTATTAATATAGAATTTTGGCTCTCTCTTGTAAGATCTTCATTATTTATGATGGTTTATTACGAAATTATCTAATATAACTTATTTTCTAATCATTATCGTATTCATCCTACCCATTTAAAAAATTAAATATTGTAACTGTTATCTTATCCCCTAAAGAATGATGATTATTTTTCAGATCGTATCTTTCATATAAAAAATTTTTTTAGTACTCCTTGCCTTCATAAGTTTGCACAATTTGTACATTTTTACTCTACGTTACCTGATAAATCTTGTAATTCATTAAGTTTTATCAAAATTATAAATCTGCTAATTATTGTTTTAATATTCTTGTAAAATAAAAAATCTCTCATCAATGTGTAATAAATTCTTGACATCGAGATTTTATTGTTTAAATAGATATTAACTAATTTAATGGTCTATTTATTTGTTAAATTTTATATATCTTCAAAAAGGTGATAATTTTCAACAATAAATCTATCCTTTTTATTTATATTTAGATTCAAAAAATTTTGAATTATATTAAAATTTTTTTCTGTTATGGAGAAGTAGTCACAGAATCCTTTAGTTTAAACTCTTTTTTAATCTTATTAGTTTAAACTTAATTTAAAAGACTCCAATAATATTAGAGATCTAATAGCACTTTTATAAGAATTAGAAAAACTAATTATCTTAATCAATTTTATAAGTTCTAATTTTACCTTCAGTGAAGATAACTTATCCCCTAACTTTGAAGAGATCTTAAAGATTTGATAAGAAATTTATCTGTTATTTAAAATGAAGTTGTAAATAATTTTATACTTATTCTATTGAAATATAGACTGTTATTTATTAATCTTTTAATATAAAGTCTATTTCTTACCATAAATCTATTAGATATTAGTTAAAATTTATAAGTACATTCATGCTTGAATTCTTTTTCAACAATCATATCACTTTTATTATCAAAAACAGTATTATTGTCTAATTTAATTCATCTTTCCACTTCTTTTTTAAAATAAGGATCTGATTAAAGACTTTTCCTATTAGAAGACAATTTAATAGCTGAAAAATAGATAATTATTTTTTTGATTTATTAGGAATTAATATTATACATTTCTTAAAGAGAGTGATCATAAATATTATTAGTGTTTTAAATAAAGAATAATCTGATCAGCAATTGTATTTATTTGCATTTAAATAGCTTAATTAAATTTACTGTAGACTAAGTTTTATTGTAAATATTCTATCTCTGATGCAAGCTCTTTAGCAAGTACTGAATTGCTATTTTTTTGCTAATGAAAATTTCCATTTTGATAAAATATTATTTAATAAAATAAAATTAATAACAGTCGAAATACTTCATAAATTATTATTAATAAATCATCAGTTCATTATGCTACTATAATTATTTCCATTATTTAACTAAAATTAATAAAGTATATCATTATGTAATTTATTAAAAATATAGCAGCATTTGTAAAATAAATAAGCTCAATGTACAAATTATAAATAAATAAACAATCTATCAGAAATGATATATTTAAATCAATATAAATAAAGCAAAATTTTCTGTTCGGCTGCACAATAATCGATCCATTTTGTAGAATTTATCTTAATTTATATTCATCCATTTTAATGATATTTCTTAATTTCTAAGTTGATTTCATTTATTTATATTGTTATCTATAATTTAAAAATTCAATTAAATTTTTACTCTTATTTTGTAATAGCTTTTCATTTTAGTAATTTTTTTGACGTGAAATATCCAACTTGGGTTGATATAATTTATTTCAAATAAAAAACTAATTTGAAATCCAAAATTATCAAAACCATCATCACACTCCAAAAACATAACATAAATTTAAAATATCCTTAATTTCTTAATTAAAATCAATAATATATTCTAAGTTATAAATCTAAATTATTTTTGTTGATATATAAATCATCCCAAATTCACAACTTATTCATTTTTTTAAAGCAGTGTTTATCATGATGGAATATAATTTTAAGGGAAATATATATGATATCATTTTATTACTCCTTTGACGCAATTTCTTTGAAGTTAAATAAGAGTTGACGAGTCTTTGATTTAATGATTAAGAATTATAATGCCAATATTTCGTTAGTAATGAAACTCAATCAAAATCCAAAAATATGCTAAACTTACCAAAACTTTTTAATAAATTAAATCTACAGATTTTCTGATTATCTAAAAACAATTCCATTTAAAATGAATTACTTTTGGTTGTTAAAACCAAAATTTTATTTACTTATTCTTTGTATAAAATATGATTTAGTTTATGTTTTTCTATAATTTAACGAAAAATTTAGATTTCGAAAAAAAAAAAATTNTTTTATACTTATTCTATTGAAATATAGACTGTTATTTATTAATCTTTTAATATAAAGTCTATTTCTTACCATAAATCTATTAGATATTAGTTAAAATTTATAAGTACATTCATGCTTGAATTCTTTTTCAACAATCATATCACTTTTATTATCAAAAACAGTATTATTGTCTAATTTAATTCATCTTTCCACTTCTTTTTTAAAATAAGGATCTGATTAAAGACTTTTCCTATTAGAAGACAATTTAATAGCTGAAAAATAGATAATTATTTTTTTGATTTATTAGGAATTAATATTATACATTTCTTAAAGAGAGTGATCATAAATATTATTAGTGTTTTAAATAAAGAATAATCTGATCAGCAATTGTATTTATTTGCATTTAAATAGCTTAATTAAATTTACTGTAGACTAAGTTTTATTGTAAATATTCTATCTCTGATGCAAGCTCTTTAGCAAGTACTGAATTGCTATTTTTTTGCTAATGAAAATTTCCATTTTGATAAAATATTATTTAATAAAATAAAATTAATAACAGTCGAAATACTTCATAAATTATTATTAATAAATCATCAGTTCATTATGCTACTATAATTATTTCCATTATTTAACTAAAATTAATAAAGTATATCATTATGTAATTTATTAAAAATATAGCAGCATTTGTAAAATAAATAAGCTCAATGTACAAATTATAAATAAATAAACAATCTATCAGAAATGATATATTTAAATCAATATAAATAAAGCAAAATTTTCTGTTCGGCTGCACAATAATCGATCCATTTTGTAGAATTTATCTTAATTTATATTCATCCATTTTAATGATATTTCTTAATTTCTAAGTTGATTTCATTTATTTATATTGTTATCTATAATTTAAAAATTCAATTAAATTTTTACTCTTATTTTGTAATAGCTTTTCATTTTAGTAATTTTTTTGACGTGAAATATCCAACTTGGGTTGATATAATTTATTTCAAATAAAAAACTAATTTGAAATCCAAAATTATCAAAACCATCATCACACTCCAAAAACATAACATAAATTTAAAATATCCTTAATTTCTTAATTAAAATCAATAATATATTCTAAGTTATAAATCTAAATTATTTTTGTTGATATATAAATCATCCCAAATTCACAACTTATTCATTTTTTTAAAGCAGTGTTTATCATGATGGAATATAATTTTAAGGGAAATATATATGATATCATTTTATTACTCCTTTGACGCAATTTCTTTGAAGTTAAATAAGAGTTGACGAGTCTTTGATTTAATGATTAAGAATTATAATGCCAATATTTCGTTAGTAATGAAACTCAATCAAAATCCAAAAATATGCTAAACTTACCAAAACTTTTTAATAAATTAAATCTACAGATTTTCTGATTATCTAAAAACAATTCCATTTAAAATGAATTACTTTTGGTTGTTAAAACCAAAATTTTATTTACTTATTCTTTGTATAAAATATGATTTAGTTTATGTTTTTCTATAATTTAACGAAAAATTTAGATTTCGAAAAAAAAAAAATTAAAGATCAGACGATTTTAGATTGATCATCTAAATTAGTTAAGTATATTGATTTTAAGGTTTATTATTAGAGATTATAAATTAAAAGTTAAAGAAAATAATTTTTATTATTAATAAAATGATAAAAATAATATATTTGTAGATAAATCTTGATTAGAAGGTTGGAAATTTAATACATAATTTAAGGGAATTGTAGATATATTATCTTGTAAATGAATATATTAAAAATATCACCTGTAAATTAGTAAAAATATCAGAATTAAATTTAAAGCTTTTTAATTACTCAAATGAATTAAATATATAGAATATATAATTATAATCTTCATATTATCAAGTGAAAGGTGATAAAAAGTTTAGATATCAAAAATTGAAATTAGTGATAAAACCAATATTGAATATAATTGAGGGTACAAAAAAGCTGCCCTTAATCAAAATTGATTTTAAAAACAATAATCAATTTAAAAATAGCTAAAATTTTTAACATCTCTTCTTCATTTTGATTTTAGGCCTTTCTAATTTTAAATTCAAATAAAACCTAGATTAATTCAATATTGCATACCCTTATTATAATATGCATTTTAAAATAAATTTAATATTATTGCCTTCCCTCTAATATCCTAATGAGGAATTCTTAATTTAGAAAATTTATTACCAGAGCTTAAAAAGGAATTCACCTTTGTTTAAATAAGCATTTTATAGGATTTATTGTTAAAGCTTTAATAAATATTCCTGAAATATATTCTTTAGGCCTAACTAAGGATTTTTTTCTGAAGCACTTGCTTAAATATTGAATTAAATAACAATGATTGAATTTTTACGATTAATTAAAATGGGTTGATTTAAATTATTTGAATATATTGTAATTAATAACATAAAAAAAATTATTCATTCTAAATTCATCTATCTAATTTGAATTCATAATGCATAAGATATATTTTGTATCATATTAAACAAATAAATAACTTTTATAAAGCTTTATAAATATTTCATAAATTTGATATGAATGGAATTCTTCAATAGAACTAATAATTTTTAAAAAAGGTTTAAGCATGATAATAATGTTTAATTGTTAATTTTTATTCATCACCTAAAAGATTATTCTGAAGATAGTGATAATGAATATTATAAATTATTTAGGAAGTCTTAAATTGAAAGTAATTGAGAAAAGTAAAGTCCAAGATACTCTTCCTTAATTGTTTAATGAACAATACCAAGTTTATTAAAAAAAGCAATTATGAATATTTAGGTTAGATTTTTTAATTAGATGAATGTAAAAATTGAACAGTGTGATGATGATAATTCTATAGTTTGAGATGAATGCTCTGTTTGTCAAATTGATCCTAATAAATTGTTAAAAAGGATATTTCTTAATAAATAATAAATATACTCAATGCTCGTATTAATTCTATTATATTTTTTCACTTTATCCTATGTATACATAAGATTAGCAATTAGTTTAGTTCGTTTACTTAGTTTCTCTCTTTTATAGTAAATTCTTTTAACCTACATTTTTTAGTTCTTCTTAATTCTTTCTAGTTCCTCTTCTTAGTTAGGCTTTATGGCTCTCAGTTTTTCTTTATGTTTTTCCCATTCTTTTGATTTGATATTAGTTCATTCAATCCTTGTATTATCTTATTTCCATTATCTACATAATCTTATTGTAATTGGCATGATTAATTAACCTTATTATATATATATTACTGTGTTATAGTATATATCTTACCGTTATTTAATAACCTACCTCTTATATTATATCTTAATGAAAGTATAGGATCATTTGATTTCTATCAATCTCATCTTATTCACATGAATATATATTTCATCCTTTAATTATCTATTATAATATAATGACAAATTATGCATAATTGACATTTCTAATATGATACTTCATATCTTTATATTTAGTCTATATTGGATTTGATTTTAGAAGAACATTCAAGTTACTCAGCAGCCATTTTCATTTTCTTATAGTCTTTGTATTTATTGAATGCTAACTAATAAATTTATTAACTAGAATTAAAATATAGAATAAATCTTTGATTTTCTACTCATAAAATATTTTAATCTTTAGATGTAGATGGCTTTCCTAAATGAATACCTATAATTAACTTCAAACACTAAATAATAGAGATATTAATACCAATGATGCCTCTTTAATTTTATTAAGTAAATAATAGCCTTTATGTTTGGAATCGAGATGAACAAAAATTTTGGATAAAATAAATGTAATTTAACCTCCTATTATTTAATATTATGATCAAATGCATAATCATTTTAAATGGTGCAATTATAAATTTTAATAGATTTTTGTAAAGGAACTAATAATTAATAAAAAATATTGTTATTATAAATGAGTATGAGGGATGAGTTACAAATGAATATTGCGAAAAGTTAATTATAAAAAAAGATAGTTTAATTAGAATAGAGAAAATTAAAGTTAGAAGAGATAGTATGAATGTGTATTAAAATTCAAAAAATTTATTTATTTAATAGAAAGGATTATTTAGATAAAGAAATTAAATAGAATAAGAGATCGAATTTCTAAATATTAAGGATAAATTTTAGAAGCTTTTGTCAAAATCGGTTTTACCTGATTTAAATTTTTGATTCTTAATTTTATAAAAATTATTGAAATATTAAAAAATTCGAATGATCATTAACTTACTGTAAAAATAGAATATTTCATATTTGTGACTAAGCTTTGGGTTATTGATAAATTTGCCTCTTATTTTAGAATTCCTTCATTATAAAATGTTTTAGAATAATTTTAATAATGGGAGATATTTCATTTTTGATTGTTATTCTAAGCATTATCCAATAGTAAATTCAAAAATGAATGAAGGTACTTGCGATATTTTATATTAAAAATAAAATATTCAATTCATTTTTGGACATAATTTGCAATAATTATTAAGGTTTATTTTATAAGTAGCCTGATAAAATCTTCTCATTTTTATCTAAGAATATATAGATAAGTTTATTTTATTAATCATTCTTTTGCAATTTTCTAGAATAATATCAGCAGAATACTTTCACACTTTAATAAATATTTAAGGTAGTATTGGAGAAAGAGACAACAAAAGATTCAATGATAAATATTGACAGATGATTATATCTAATATTTTTTTAAGATATCTATTGATTTCTCTTTATGTTGAATATTTTGAAGAGTAAATCTTCATAAGATGTAAAAAAATATGTTTGAAAAAATTAATATCATAATTATTATTCAAATCAAAAATTCCTTATTTTTACATATATTTAATTAAATAATAGTCTCATTAATCTGTGAATTTCCTCAATGATCTTTCTTTTAATTCCTAATTGGGTTAAATCAAATAATCTCCTCATCACTTATCATATTGAATAGATTACTTGATGACTATACTTTTCGATATGATCAAGATTATAAAAAGTATTTTAAGTTTTTAATAATATACAAATGATAATTATTAATTGTTTAAAAGTAGTATAATTGGATAAGCATTAATTGCAATAGTTTCTATAATAGAATCTAGTCCCTAACCCTTTTGTTTTATAAATATTATATTTATAATTTATTCAAATTATAATTCAATAGATAATAATACAAAAAATATCTTGATAATTAATATCATCTTAAACAAAAGGTGATAGAAATAAAAGTTATTTTAGATTCATCCTTGCAATAAGACCAATATTGATTTAGATTAGTTATTTCAATTCTTTTTATTTATTCAAAATTGATCTTCATTGAAAAGAATGTTTAATTGATAACTGAAATATCTAACACCTCTGTTTAAACGTGATTCTTGTCATCTTTTTAATTTTTAATAAATTTTAAATCTATGATTAAAATCTATAATTAACCTTTATAGCTCAATGCCTATTTATTTTTGAATGAATATTTTGCCTCCACTACTAAATTATAAATAGACATACTAATTTTATAATATTAATTACAGAATTCGATTAAGAATACATCTTTATTATAATAGGCAATTTATTGGATCTACTTGTAAAGCTTTCTTAAATTGGATCTAAAGAAATTTTAGTATACATTAAGTTACCCATCCCCAAAAAGGATCCAAAAACTTTACTTCTGAAAAATATGGAAATATTAATTTAAATATTAATAATCTAATTTTTACCATGTATTAAACAATTAGAAATTAAAGAAATTAAGTAAATTTTATATTGCTAAACTGACGAGATTTGATTACAATCCTTATTAACTACATATCTTGAATTAAAATTGTTTTGTTAATTGATAAATTTTAGCCAATTTAATATTGATTTATCAATTCAAAATTAAAATACTAAGAGAAACAAAAGTTTTAGAAAGGATAATTAATTGAAAATATTATATAAATATTTTATTAGGAAAGTAGGATTTTGAGATCCAAAAAAGGAGACATAATTAATTGAGAGAAAATTACTTCTCAAAGAATCAGATATGTAAATTCTTTAAAAAATTAAAACGAAGACAGAAATCTTGCTCTATCAATTTTTTTAAATATTATTAAAGTTGGCAATTATTATTAATTAAATTTTAAATTTCAACGATTCACAAAAGTAATCTCCATTATTTAGGATCAAATTGATATTTTGAATGTAAAGTCATGTATTATATTGGATTTTCTATCTATTATTAATTGTTATTTGAAAAATCTATTTCAAGAAGTTAACATATATATCAGATTATTCATATTACTGTTATGCAATAGTTAACTTTTCATATTACAATAGTTATTACCCTCAAATATTTAATAAATCTATTAAATTATTTTGTTAAAAAAACAATCAGATCCAGTTTTTTTTAAATTATCGAATTTTTTCATCGCAATAAATAGTAGAGTTATTTTTATTATTTACTAGAATTTTTATACATTTATTATTAATATTTAATTTTTTCATTAATTAATTTTATTCTTAGATATAATGAAGGAAGTTGTGTCTTAGAAAACTAAAACAAAGCTTTCATCTTAATATTCAAAATCATATCATGAATTCAATATGAATTAATTTCAAATATAATAAAATAAATGAATAATTTAAAAAGGGAATTTATTAATAATTAAATAATTTATGAGGCAAATTGATTATGATTTCTTAATAAAATTTAATTTGTATACTTATAATGAATGTATTTAACCGTTATTATCATTACATCTATTAGAGACCTCATTACATTTTGATGCAATATATAAGATATTTAAAGTCGACCAATAATTAACCTCAGATATTAACTAATACTTAGTAACATACCAAAAGATATTATCATTTAAATTATCTTCTTGGCATACAATTCTTAAATCATCATTAGGATGTAATGTGAATCATCCCATAATTTAATTTAAACTAAAATTAATTCACCAACATTTATATCTTATTATCCTATATAACCAACCTTCATCATAAAATTAAATTATTAACGCAAAAAGAAAAAACATCTAGAAATTTAATAAATAAAAATTATTTTGATTAACTAATTTTACTTAAATATAAAATAAATCTTAATTTGCACTGAAATTTAAAAATATTTTTATATTTACAGTCATTTGACTTAAATAATACACAAATATTTTTAGATCATATTTATTTGTTTGCAACATTTGTCTTAAGTAAAAACATATACTTGAAGATTCGAGAATATTGAATATATGTTATTTAAGTGGTAGTAATGATAAATTGAGATATTTCTAACTAACTATTTAATAAAACGAGATACAATCCTAAAATCTTTAAAACTCGATTAGTTGGCCGCATTTTGAATTCTAGAATTTTCTGCTATTATCAATGTAGTTACTTGATTAACGGCCTCAATAAAATATATTTCAATGAGATAGAGATAATTTAATAGATCAACAAGTTAATCAGTTGTTAGATGTAAATGAGATTTAAGTACAAATAATTGTTAATCAGAATATATCTTTTTATTCTTTGAATAGTGTTTTAATTATTTAATATATTGATTAGAAAAACCTGCATACTTATTTACTTCAATTGATTAAGCTGAAAAATTAATCATTTATAAGAAATTTTAGGAAATTTACAATAAAGATTTAAATTAATTAATAATAAATAATATAATATTGATATTTTTAGTTATTTAGATTAAGTTACCTCAAAAATGACTTAAGTATTTTATTCTAAAAAGTTTAAGTTGATATTTTATATTTTATGATAAATCTTATAATTTGTTTATTTCTACCAGTAGTTTTAAAATGAAATGGATTATTTATATTTAAAATTTAGATTAATAAATACTTAGGTATATACTTTCTTGATGATTTCAAAATTAAAAAACTCTGATATTGAGTAAAAAGGATTATTTTCAAACACGAGGCTTAAGTTTAAAAAGTTTTTTTATTTTTTCTATTATTTTGATAAATATGATTTTAGAAATCTACTTAGCTATAACAAAATAGCATAAACAGTAATTAGTAAATCTTTGTTCATTTGCTTTAGTACCAAGAACAGCATATGTATTAATTAATAAAAAAACAATATACTCAATTTTTATTATTGTAAATTTACTTTTATGATGAAAAGACAGAAATATAAGTGATTTTTGAAACACAAATACAATGTTTCAAATAAAATAAAAGATAGAATTTACATGAAAAATCATTTTCAAACCAATAAGCTAAAAAATAATTTATCTTAATACGAATCATAAATATTAATACTTACCAAAATTTGATATTTAATTTCATCAATAAAAATTTATTATATTTTAAATTAATAATTTACTATCAAATACCAACCGGAATTAAGCCAGAAACAATGTTTTTGGTTCTAATAAAATTAAACATTGTAAAAATTATAAGTTATTTAATTTATGTGTGTTTTTGGTTTTCGTAAAGATTCTGATAAAAGTAGAATCTGGATGTGGTTTGGTGGATCTTATTACATTTTTAATTGTGAATTATGTAGAAACTAAAAAAAATTAAAGAAATTGTAATTTTGTGGTAAATTTTCGGTTTGCTATGAATTATTTTAAAAATATAGATAACATACAGCAACTAAACTCATTAATTTATAAAAATAGTCAGATTATATT